CGGTAAGGGGTGGGGAGTGGATACTTTCAGGATAGTGAAGCTCTGTAGGGACAGGGATTTTTCTTTTATTCGTCATATCTCAATCACCTAGACAGTCTGGTACTCAATAAATATTCCTTGAATCAATGAAAAGGGTAACTCTGATTTGTATTGTACCCTTCTTAAACCCTGAAAAATGGTACACAACAGTTAAATCATCTACAGATAAATGAAGTACTGTAGCAACCACAGTTTCAGCATTTAAGCAGTGAAACCTGTTCCAATCCCTTCATAAAGCTGGGAGTTGACATTGCTGCATCCCTGGCCCCCAGAGACCAATGACCAGAACTGAAAAACAACTTTGATACTTTCTATCATAGAGGAGTACTTCCTTATAAAATATTCATTGTAAATGAACAAAAACCAACAGGATATATACCTGAGAGTATATATAAGAGCAATTTATTTGGAGAAAAATATAGAGACCTAGGAAATGGGGATTCTGTCATCTATCCTGACCAAACAGTTGCAAAACATATTAAAACACAAACAGCAAAGTGAAAATACTAACATATAAAAGCTACATGTAGTAAAATAAATTATGCACATTTAAGGCAGTCTATGAAGTGCTCTATTTTGGTCATATTGGAAAAATTAAAAATTAAATTTGATGCATGTCATATTTTCCTACTAATATATTGCACCTTGTGAGAGGTATAGGGGGCTATACAATTGATGATTCCAGGATATGCTCATTTCTAATCCTCCAACATACATATTTCAGAGTTTAAAGGTAAAGGGGCCTGCTGATATCCTTGAGTAATACATAGAAGTGATAATATAAGAACTCATCTACTTTTTGCTCAGTGTTGATTTATGGAGGCTAGAAGCCAATAACCTACTTTTGGCAATTTTCAGAAATATTGTAATAAAGTAATAGTCCGTGAAGAAAGCATTTGATAAAAGGATTTTCAGTTTTGGATCTTGACTTGCTCCTGTCCTCTGGGGTCTTATTGCACTGTTTTTTTTCAGGCTGACTGAGTTGCGGTGTACTCTGCGAGGCTGTCTTCAGCACTGTGTGGGCAGTACACCTTTCCGTATACAGTGACAGCTCCTTCTATATGAGAGATTTAGTAGGAACAAGAGCAATCCGTTGGTAAGGGCTGGGGTGGGAGAGATTTTGTGGACGCTGAGTTTACATAGCAGGCATAGTTGTTTATCTGTTTTTAATGGTCGTTTGGGGTGAAGATTATAGGGAAACCCAATGTCCCCTTGAGTGACCCAGAGAACTGCCACTGTTCCCATACCCTTCAACCGGGCATTAAGGCAGCTTTCCATTCAATCGGATAGTGCTGCTCCGGCCTACCCCTACCTCTCTCCCCGATATCTTAGGGCTAAATGGCCTGGCGCTCCCAGCCACTGCTGTACATTCTGGGCCGGGGCGAGCTAAAAGGCACAAGGACTTTCGTGTTGTAGTCTAGGGCGAAGATTCTGGCTTAGCCTTGGCGAACTTTCCAGGCCAATGCGAAGTTTTCCCATTTTGGTGCATGCAGACACCACGCGTCCGAGTTTTGTTTAGTGTGTCAACAGGGTCAGGCCCTGCGGGCGCTTTGCAAAAGCTTTGAGGCAAGTGTGAAGCCAATGGCTGCAGTGGATGGGGGTAAAATGCCGCCCCCCGCTTGGTCCTAGGGCAACTCCCACCCCCAGCCAGCATTTCCCTTTAATGCGCGTGCCCGTCAAGGTCCTCGCGTCCCCTCCCCTCAAGCCGCCTGGGCAGCTTCGATTTCTCTCACCTCTCCCGGTCCCTGCCGTTCCTTTAACGTGGGACGCCCCTCGCCCACCCCCGCCGCCGCTCGCTCGCGGGACGCG